CTGAGCTGAAGAGGGTCCAGCAGTATGCAGTGGATGTGACTCTTGATCCTGATACAGCACATCCTAAACTCATCCTGTCTCGTAATGGAAAACAAGTACACTGTGGTGATAGAAGGAAGAAACGTCCAGACAACCCAGAGAGATTTCTTGTGTTTCTTTGTGTTTCCGGAAAGCAGAGTTTCTCTTCAGGCAGATTTTACTTTGAGGTTCAGGTTAAAGAAAAGACCAGATGGATATTAGGAGTGGTCAGAGAGTCAGTTAACAGGAAGAAAAAAATCACACCGAGTCCCGAGAAAGGTTACTGGACTGTAGGAGTATATGAAAACATTTGTGTAGCTTTTGAGGATCCTGAAGTCCGTCTTCCTCTTCAGTCTGGTTTTGAGAAGGTGGGGGTGTTTGTGGATTATGAGGAGGGTCTGGTCTCCTTTTATGATGCAGATCATGCAGCTCTTATCTATTCCTTTACTGGCTGCTCCTTCACCGGGAAACTCTACCCATTCTTCTGTCCCGGGGTCAATGATGATGATAACTCTGCACCTCTGATCATCTGTCCTGTCAATCAGTCAGTTCGATCTTTCTACATGAGGAAATGTGAATAATTACAGATTCATCTCAACATTTAAGCCAACACAAAGAAGAATGGTTGCCTTAAATGTTGCAGAACAAGCTAATAAGCTGACCTTTATTTTATTGTTTTGTTAAACTGCTTACACTGTTTACCCAAGAAGTCCAATCTGACTAAGAACAAACTCTCCTTTTCTCTTTTTTCAGTGTTTAAAGACAAATATACTGATTTGTCATTTTTGCTTAAATCACTTGCACTACTTAGAAATGTGCACACATAAGATTAAAGGAATGTGAGGGGCACCTGATATCAGTCACGACCACTTCTTAGCTCAGTTCCTGCAATACAAGCAGTTTTTCCCCAGCAGTTTTAACCAGTCAAATAGATGCTCATGCTCAAATAAAAATTTGTGAAGTTCTAAGAGTGGTTACCCTCTTTTTGGTAGTTGGCCACAGCTGATTGCTCACAGACTGTGGCTTCCATGTACATGTTCCATGTGCATCTGATCACCCAATGCTTTAATAAATAATAATTATAAGCAAAGTGTTTTGGCTGGTGATTCCTCAAGGTGGAGAAACGAACACAAAAACAAAACATACTGTCGTTTTATTAACATGTACTGTCACGTCTGATGAGGCAGACAGCATGGAGAGGAGAGAGTGTGGACCCAATTGCAGACAAACAGATGAATATACGGAGGATCAAACTGAAAGCAAACTTTTATCGGTAGCTGTACAAATATGCTACAAGCAACTAACGAAAGGGAGAACTGAAAACATTAACAAACCTACACTGGGAGAAGCTAACCAAATAACATGAGGAGCGTAGAAAACATAATTAAAACCTGAAACTGAGAATGAGGAGCCTGAGAGATGAAAAGCAGGGGAGACACAGAGGATGACAAGCAGAGGTACAGCAGGTGGACATGCAGACAACAGAGGCAAGCACACACTATGTATACACACACACATGGGGAAAAGAGGAAATGGCAGACAAGCAGGGAACACAGCTGAGACCAATCAGACAAGACGAGAAAACGGGGAACCAAAACTGACCAAGGGATGGAAGACTCTCAAATGTAAAACAGGAAACACGAATATTGAACCAAAAACACTAGACACAACACAAGGGACACCTAAACACTGGAATTAATTAACAAATAACCAGAAAAAACTAACTAAATCAGTGAATATTAATCAATACAAAACATAAACAAAGAGACACTAGACTCCATACCATGACAACAACAAACTTGTTCAGAATGAAATGACTAAAAAACTTTTATCATCTCTTTTTTAATTGTTTTTTGATGATCCCCAGCTGGTAAACTTCGGTTTTCTTACCCCTGCGGTGATAGGAGAAAAGGCTGCTGTAAGCCTTGAAAAAAGACCCATAATTGTATCAATAATATTATTAATATGACCATAAAATTCATAAATACACTTGTAAGATAATGTTTTGGATTATTTGGAGCATTGAAATATTATTGAGACACAGCCCGCTAACACCTTCAACTCATCCTTTTTACTTCTAATGCCTGTCATTCGTTCATGGTGCAAATGTGAAGTTGTGGTATTTAGGCATTTAGCTGGCTAAGTTTTGATTCATTATTTTCCCCTCTGATGTTCAGCCTGCACAGCCTGCACTAAGATGACAGCTGCAAAAGTAAATGCAGCACTTTGAGTGAAAATCCAGCAAAATGTGCTCTGGGCCACTTTAACTCCTGGCTAATGGCCTCTTTGCCTCTTTCATCACAGGATTGCCTTTCGTGCATCGCCTAATCAAGGTTGATGTTTGAATTCTTGTAGTGACATGAAATCATTTCCCTTGAAGTCAAATGAATAGTAATGAGCCCATTTTAAAATTGGAAGAAGTAGAAACTAGAAATATTTGTTTAAAAATGTAGGGAGCAAATGTAAAAGGTAGACAGGAAAATAACTACTCAATTAAAGTACAGATACCAGAAAATTTTGTAACAGTACAGCAACAAAGTTTTTGTACTTCATTAGGGTAAAGGGAAATAAAACCCTGACCTCTATAAAGTCTTCAGTCCCTCATGTCTTATACTTTCTTATTTCTGCTATTTAAATAGTTAAAAATGAACGCAGACCTGATTCAAAATAACCAGTAAGTCTTTTTCTTCTCTGGCGTCTCTTACTCTAACATAACATGAAGATGGTTATCATCAGAATAAATCAACCCATAATTTATTAGTCTGACTTTGAGTATGTTCACATGAACAAAGTTTTTATTGAGTTAAATTCAGGTGCTACTGAAATGTGAATTCATGGAGGCGTAGATGCAGTTTTAATATCAGGTCACAAAGTTAGAGGCTCAGATGCTGTTTTGGACGAAACTCTTGTGATACAAAGACACGTACACACTGTTACAGGGTTGTTCTGTGCAGGTTTCCAGCTGACCACCAGGGTCTGCGTGCAGCTGGAGTCCACGATAACCTGGCATATGCCCTCTTAGCACCTTACCAGCATCAGGTACTTTCCTCGAGGGGGGGGATGGGGGAGCTGGCGACACAGAATAACGGTTAAAGGCTTGCTGTTGCCAGCCTGTTAAGCAGGAGTGCATGTTAGTGGGGGACCGTTGGTACAGAAATGATACCATCAGAGAAACTGAATTCTGAAGCGCTGGGGAAATCCCAAAGACTCCACCCGTATGTTGTATGTTGATTTTAGCTCTGCTTTTAATGTGTTACAGCATCATCTCCTTTTACAGAACCCAAGTCAGATCTCTCCCTCTCCACTTATTATTAAATGCTTTTAATTCTCTTTAACAGACAGAACTCAGAATTTTAGGGTGAAAAATATGTGCTCCATCAGCACTGGTGTGCCTTATGGCTGTGTTAGCTCACTAGTCCTGTTTACTCTTTATAATCTTTATATTTAAGTGTACACTTCTTCCCACTCCTTGTAAATATGTAACTGAATCAGAACAGGTGAAGCAATAGTGAAATCTATTTTGCTTCAGTTTGTATAGCATTTTTCTTTTCTTTTCTTTGCTAAATAAAATTTGTATATTGTTTCCATGATTGAAATAAAAATTAACAAACAAATGATTGTAACTCAAATAACTTTATTTTCAGATTTTCTGATGACAAACTTAGCCTGCTATACGAGAACACAGATCCCTCAGTGCACTTCACTGAGGCAAACATGAGAATTGCGGAGTGTTTGATGCCAGCACACTAAGCATGATGAATCAAGACTTTCAAAATAACACAGGAAACATGACGAGATGCAGACATGACATGAACTTGATAACATGGACCACGCAGTAAAGAAACACATGAGGGGCGAGGGTAACTTAAACATAGGGAAGGACGACACAAGGGGAATCTGTTAATAAACTACAACAAGACAACCAAGGCAAAATAGAAATGAGCTTGGAATACTGAATGAGACTGAATGAATATCAAAACATAAGAAAACTTAAAAACACTGGGTCGCACGACCCAGGACCATGACAACTAAATTGATTGTTTCGTGAATGTTGTTTATAAAATGATTTATTTTGCTTTTCTTTTAATGTTTATTAACTCTTTGTGGTGGGATTTGTTTTCCAGATTCAATATTTGAATATACTTGAGTTGAGGCTTCATATCAAACAGCAGGCGACTCACTTTCTTTGATTCCATCATAAAAAATTGTTTTGCTGTTTTTCCATAAGTGTGCAAGATAGTCTTTGTTTGTCTCATCACTGTTTCAGCTGCTTTTAAACACTTTTAATGATGTTCTGACACTCTCAAGGACCAAAACAAAGGTCTGAATCCTGCTACTTCCTCTTTCCTGGTGCTCGCCACTTGTGTGGGTGTCTTGAGCGTTCTCCACATGGCACTGCTTATCTGCCAGGATGCTCTGTGTGCAATGTTCCCTCTAAGCTGCACGCGTGCGCAATTGCGCACTGCTGGCACGGTCTCTGCGCACAGAAAATCTGCGTTGCGCACAAAAAAAACTCTAACCTGAATTGAAATTAAAATTTCAACAATTCTGTTTTGCAGTGTTAGTCAGTGAGTGACTGGCTGCTCTCGTATGGGATTAGAACGATGCCACCTTATCCCATAGTCCAGCCAATAATGCGATTCACATTCGTATATAGCAGCTAATTAACGTCGTAGACAGGCTATGACAGCGTCCTTATGTGCCGACACCGGTGTTTTAGCTAGCAAAGCGGCTGATGTGGAGTGAAGCCACGTTAATGACAACATGTACAACGATTGGAGATGTGAGCAGGACAGACGGAACAATTGACGGAGAAAGTGTGGACTTTGAACCAGTTTTTAAATTGTGTTGATAGGCCACGTAAAACCAGAGTTATGATAAAAAAAAATGCAATGTTTGTTTTCTTCCTGAATACTATCGTTGTTTATATTTACTGCGGGAAGAAACGTTCTATAAGAAAAAACGCTCGAAAGCGCTCTCCGCCTGTGAGCAAAAACAAAACCAAAAACACCCCACCTTTTCCTATTGGTCGAAAAAAGTACCATGTCGACCAATCAAAAAATGATATGGCAAGTTGTTAAGAAACGGGGGGAAGTTTTAGGAGTGACGGTGGTGTTTTGAGATGTGAGAGATTTGCGACATAGCGCAAATCTTATGTAGTAAGTCTGTAGTGTAGTCAATAGTTTTGTTGTGTGTGTCAGAACAATGAGGCGACTGCTGAATGTTACAGGTGTTACAGGAGTGATACATCTCCTGTTGTCAGGCCTGCAGGTATCAGCCTGTTGTTCTCCTTTATGTGGACAGAAATTATTTTTGGAGTGGCACAAATAATTTGTGTGGCATCAGATTTGATGCAGAACAGCTGATTGTTCTGTAAATAGTTTGAAATGTTTATTTAAAAAAACACCTTGGCTGCATTTAAAAAAATAGCTGCAAAAAACTTTGTTGTTTGCCAAACTGAGGTACTTTTTTGAAGAAGTAACTATATAATTAATTGCCCAACATCATTATATACTGTATTTTGCAGACAGAGTTACAGGACTCTCTCCCAGACCACAGACTCAGACTCGTAATACAAGTCAGAGCTTTATAAAAAAAAGAAAAGAAAAAAGACTAAAGTTGTGTTTTCAAAATTTGAGTTCAAGTTACTTTTACTTCCAATAGTGTTAACATACTACACAGCTCAATGACTACATTTTTGTTTTACATTTTCATTGTAAGTGGGCTAAAGCAGTTAATTAAAAGTAGTCTAACATAAATGTAAATGCTGTAATTTGATTATTTTAATAAACCATGTAACTTGGATGGATTCAATGCTGGCGTGCCCACAGTGCACTTGTCTGATCTCGCTCACAGTGGTCCAAGGGACTGCTCAGGGAGTTTGTGTGTTCGCTCAGACACGTGAAAAATTAGAGGGAACATTGTCTGTGTGGCTTTGCTCTTCTCATATCTGGAGCATTAGTTACACAAAGGTGGACGTTTAAAAAATGCAATTTCAGGTGTAATGTGTCACAATGGTCTGACTAACTTTGTGCTCTTCAACAGATGTTGTACAGATTTGGGGAAATAAAAAAATGCAGATTAAGACAGAACAGCATTTCAGAATTCAAACCAAACAGAAAATATCAGCACAAAGATTTCGAATTCAGCTTTTCCAAATAGCCTGCTCCATGTGCCTGAAATGTAACACACATGCACGCAGGTCCATAAGTACCTGCAGGAACTGCAGAAAGAAGCGGAGACTCAAATTAGTCAGACCACATTTGAATGTATCCTGATAAATATTCATAGTAGAAGTTGCCACTGAGCCAGCAGAAGGAAGAGGTGGAGCAGCATCTGAAAGAATCTAAAAGTGAAACTTAAAGCGAGTTTCTCTTCAAAAGTGCATCAAACTGTGCTCATCCAACCTTTCTCAGCAGCACAGCAGAGCTTCTGTTCAACACTGGTAAGTACAGATGTCCATGATCACACTGTTTTAAAGGGCAACTGTTGATCCCCCTCATTTTATAACCTGTAAACAGGATGAGGGGAGACTGGTGTGACGTTCATTAAGTCCCTTAGCAGCGCCGATTCAGAGTACAAACTGTCGTTAACCACTTAGAGGGGAATGACTGGATTCAGAGCATGAGGAGATTCATAGAAAGATACTAGAAATATTCTTATTGAATTAGAGACATCAAAATTACCTACAAAGGTCAGCGGTGCAGCCTTTTCTTTCCAGATGTTGAACTTCAGCTCTGCACAGAGGCTGAAATAACAAATGTGTTTTGTTCTTCGGTTGTTGTTTCAAAAGGTTGAAATGAGAGTTGACTTAATAGCGGCACTCATCAGACTACATGTGTTGGATTGAGACAAAGAAGTTTACAGTTAAAATCTTTGATCTCATCACAGTCACTTTAGTTCCAATTCACTAGCTTGGACCACATCCTCATGAGGTTTGACAGCATTTCTAACAGATACTGGCAGATGGCTTGAGCATGACTTGAGGCTGCGGTTTGCAGAGGGTGGAGGCTCCCCTGGCCTGGCAGATCATTGTGTACTAATGAGAAGTAAATTAACTGAAAAAGGGAGGGGCATGGAAATAAGAACAAAAAGTTTTTAGTGCAGGGGGATCATATATAGATAGAGGAGTGGAGATCACTTATCTGATTTTCAGACGCAGGAAAGAGCACGTATGGAAAAATCAGATAAGTGATCTCCACTAAAAATGCTACAGTGGGATGCAAAAGTTTGGGCAACCTTGTTAATAGTCATTATTTTCCTGTATAAATCCTGTGAAACACTGTGAAACACTATGGCTCAAACATGCCTTCCCCCTCCCTTCTTCCTTTATCCAGGCTTGAGGTCAGCACTAGGAGGGGACTGGCTTGTGACCCTCTTGTGGCTGCATTTGTCCCAAGTAGAGAAAAATATGTGAAACTCAGTGTGTAGACAACTCTGTAGTGTGAACTTTTTGCTCACAGGGATTACATACACTAACCTTATGCAACTGAGCATTCACAAGGTGAACAAGAGATTTGTGACAGGAAAGAAGAAAAAAACACAATTTAAACACAATTAAAAGTGAATTTGAAATAAAATCATTTTCTTTTCTTTCTCACTCAGAGTGCAGACATGTCTGCTGCCAGCTGTCTTCTATCTGAAGATCAGTTTCTGT